TGAAGGCCAATGCCTCTTAACTTGCTAGGCATTATAAGGCTGAGTCCAATGGGTACCTTATTTATGGGGAATCTGCAAAAATGAAGGAGGAGATGGTCCAATGGGGAGGTTTGGGCCTCCAAAAATTGAGGATCCTGCATATGGAACCCCAAATTTGGAGGTGGAAATGGAGAATCCCCCAAATATAGAGGCTCACCAGAGCCCGCCACATGGCTTTTCTTTTTCTTTTTAAGATTTTAGGAGTTAATTGTGAGTTTAATTAGGGGATTAGTTAGGGATTTAATTATTTCAATCATTTTCAAGTGTTGTGTGTAAACCCGAATTAGGTACATAATTTTTTGTCAAAAAAATTCGGACTCGAAATTTAACAAAATTCTATCGAAAATTTTGTGTTAAAAAATGATGACGAACTATACAAAAATTAACATGAATAAATTATATTAAAGCTACGATAAGTACATTTTTAAGTAAATGGAAAAATTGGAAATATTAAGAACCGCAAATATGGAGTTTGTTGCATTGAAGCAAAAGAAGAGAAAATGGGGTTCAATCCTCAAATTTGGGGTTCAAGGCCCCCAAATTTGGGGTTTTGCATTGGACTTGGCCTAAGGACTGCAACATGTACACATATTTTATTGTTATTTGTCAGTGACAAATTGATTTTTTTTAATTTTGTAAAATCGTATAATGTATTTCCATGTGTATTTACAAACCCCCGTATAGTCATATGATTAAATCAAGAATGTTAGAAGTATTTTGTACTGATTTTTCTACCTTAAACATATATAACTCCGGATAAATGCGCGACAAAACGAAATATAAAGATATTTAAAAATTTTGGTAATTTTCCCGAACATACATAATAATTTTCAAAGTTCAAACCCAACACGTAGTGAATATTATAATCCATACATTATCACTAATCTAGCCTCTTGAGATGATTCCTTCATGTTTTTTTTTTTTTTTTTAGATAAGGGATTCCTTCATGTTTTGGAGAAAAGAAAAAAATGAAGAAATTATATAAGTGGACAAGGAGCACTAAACTGCTAAAGCTAGATAGTACCATAATGGAATTGCAATTTTGATAATTATATAATGTATGATATTTAATTCCTTTGCGTGCAGTTGTGGATCATGTGGGAAACAGTAAGAGAGAGGTCCATTATCTCGCTACCTACATTCTTTATACAACAAAAAATCCAGCACAATCTAATTGCACTAAGCTAGGCAAATTTCTCTTTGTTTTGCACTCAAGCTGTTGGGAATTCTCTCTCCTCGTGAGTTCAACTTAACCATGGTCAATTCTTAAAAAAACATAACTGTGAAGAAACCGTTGATTTCAATGATTCCGAGTTGTTAGTAGAGTTTCAATTATGGATCATATATCACTTCCTAACACACCCATCAATGAAAGCCAACATATATTGGCTTGAAATTTGCACATGTCCGAATATCATGTGCTTAACAAATAGGGTCATTGACATTCGAACATAAGACCTCTCGGTAAGAAAAGACTATTATGTCATGTCAAAAACCAGTTGGTCCCAATAATTCAAGTTGTTTGGTGAGGTTATATTATGGATCGTATACCACTTAGTAATAACAACTCGAAACAAAGACTAGGGATGGCAACTAGTTACGGTGGATACCATTTTTCTATACACCATCATTGAATCACAGTTTTAAAATTGTAATCCTCCCTATAATCAAAAGTAGGCGGGGATGTAATATGCCATACCAAAACCTATACGTATGCAATTTAGGGGAAATACATCCACACTATCTACTGATAACCATATACAAAGTTTTTGATGTAATGTGAAATTTTTATTAGAATATCAATATCATCTTTGAACATTGTTACGATTTTTTTTTTGTAAAAGTCCGGAAAAATAGCAATTTTGTTTTTAAGAGATAATTATAATGATTGAAGCATATGGATGACTGAAGTGTTGAATCGAGTGCGTCTAAAACTATAGTTGTACCACATATTCGGGTGGATTTGATATGGATACTTAATATACCAAATCCATTACCCTTTTAATTAGTTGAATTGAGGAAAAAATCTTCCACAAAAATAACTATTGAATATCCCCAATCTTGCCATACAACCTGAAAAATACAAAGTGGGGACTTTATTGATGATCATCACATAAGAGGGTTTTCTATTTATTAATACATTGCAGAAGCTGAAGTGAGCTGAAAGCAAGGTGAGAAATTTCAAATTTGGGTAGAAATTAACAAAGATATATGATGTATAATATCGAGCATGGGAAAAGCTAAAATGGAATGAATGCTGCCAACTCCAGGCGGGACACAAATTGCGTCTCTCAGCAACAACAGATGAGAATGCTTGCGACCACTCCAGAAGGATATGATATGATATGATATGATGATGCATCTTGGCCACCCAACTCAACTCTCCCATTCAAATATTTTCTTATGACATGCAGGCACTGAATTTGATTAATAGTACTGCCTGCCTAGCCAACAAAAAAATACACTTATTTTACGTTTAAATTAAGTGTTCCGTCATCACGAAATCAAGGGTAAAATATTGACAAGAAAAATTTCAAGAGTATCGTTACAGTTTTATTGGATTTTCTCGGATGAATGCTTATAATGTAAAGAAGGGGTGGACGTGGACCCATCTTATCTAGACACCTTTAAATTTTTGAAAAGAAAATTGTAGACTTTCGATAGTAGTTTGAGTTTGAGGTGGAAAAAAAAAAAAGGTGACAGTCTTTATGATTTACATTTGTGACATTGCGAATATTAAGAAAACATGTCATCTCCATCAGACTCTCCCCAGGTGGCCCAATCCTCTCCCATCTGTTCTTTGCAGATGACCTGGTGCTCTTTGTGGAGGCCAATCCTACTCAAGCTGACACTGTCCTTAAGTGCCTTACCCGTTTCTGTGATGCCTCAGGGGAAGCTGTCAGCAAGGAGAAGTCTAGGGTGTTCTTTTCTAGGAATGTTAAGAACCAGACCAGAATGAAAATTTGTAAGAGATTAGGTATACAGTCCACCAGTGACCTAGGAAGATACTTAGGTGTCCCTGTGTTGCATGGTCGTGTTACTAAGTCTACTTGCAAGTATATTATTGAAAGAATTGACCAGAAACTAACTAACTGGAAAGCTAGAACCCTCTCCCTTGCTGGCAGAGTGACCCTAGCCTTATCTGTGCTCAATGCCCTTCCAACCTATGCTATGCAAACTACTTTCCTTCCTGCTTCTATTTGTGATACAATTGATAGGAAAGTTAGAGTCTTTGTATGGGGTTCTGGAGAGGGGAAGAGGAAGGCTCACCTGGTTTCTTGGGAAAACATTTGTAAACCTAAGGAACAAGGTGGACTGGGGTTGAAGTCTGCTAGACAGATGAATATGGCTTACATGATTAAGCTTGGATGAAACATGCTTAACAAGGAGGATGATCTGTGGGTTCAGGTGTTGCAGGGGAATTATTTCAAGATGAGGAATGGTGAGATCCTCTCAATGAAGAAGAGTAATCATTCCAATCTGTGGAAGGCCATAGTCAAAGGAATGAATATGATGAAGCACGCTACCTGCTGGAGAATCCGTGATGGCCAAGCCACCAAGTTCTGGACACAAGCATGGGTTGACAACGACATCATCCTGGAGGATTTTGCCCTTGATGATGTACCTGAAGAAGAGAAAGATTCTGTTGTTGCCAACTGGGTCACTGAGGGAGGTGAGTGGGATTGGGGGAAGCTTAAAGCTGCCCTCCCTGATCACATCCTTTCCTTGATTGCAGGTGTGGAAGCCCCCAACCCAAACCTGGGTGAAGACACAAACATCTGGGGACTGGAATCAAGTGGTCGTTTCAGCTTGAAATCAGCATACAATCTTGCTGCTGAGGAGGTGGAGGAGGAAGGAGAACCAGATAGATGCTGGAAAGCTCTTTGGAAATGGAAGGGCCTTAGCAGAATCAAGCACTTTATTTGGCTTGTCATGCACGAAAGGCTGATGACCAATAAAGAAAGGAGAAGAAGAAAGCTCACCACCAACAGTCTCTGCAGATTCTGCAAGGATGAAGTGGAATCCATTGGCCACATTCTGAGAGATTGCAGCAAAGCGAGGGAGATTTGGGATTTTCCCCCTCCAAAGTTGCTTCTAATAGCACAAACCTACCTTTGAGAGAATGGCTGCTAACAAACCTTACTCAGGAGGAGAGTGCTACTGGTTTTGGAATCATCCTATGGCACCTGTGGAAACAAAGAAACGAAGAAGTGATGGAGGGACGCGCCTTCTGCAAGAAAGGTTTGATTGCCAGGATTGAAGCTTGGTTCCACATTGTGGATCAGGCACACCATAATGTGCAGAAAACTTCACTTACCAGTAGGACTGCAGGCTGCACGAGATTGATCTGCTGGGTTACACCTGATGAAGGATGGATCCAGCTGCAAACGGACGGCTCTGTGGTCACTTCGACTTGGAGAGCTGCTGCTGGAGGACTTTTCAGAAACAGCTTGGGACAATGCAAAGGGGCCTTTGTCTGCAACCTTGGTTCGTGTTCCATTATTGCTGCTGAGCTCAAAGGCGCGTTGGAAGGGCTCAAAATTGCGTGGCAGAGAGGGTACATGAGGATTTAGCTCAAACTGGACTCTTTGACCGCCCTTGAGATCATCAAGCAACGCCAGAACGACAACCATCGACATGGAAGCTTGGCTAAACAGTTTAGCTTTCTTTTGAACCTCGATTGGGAGGTGACTGTTTCTCATGTATATAGGGAAGCTAATTGTGCCGCCAATTTCTTGGCTAACAAGGCACATGACTTTGATTTTGGCACACATCCTTTCAATGTGTGCGATTTGGACTTTGTCCAATGGCTTCGCCACGATGTAATGGGAACTTCCCATGAACGTTTTATTACTTATGTGATTTAGACGCTTTGCGTCTGTCTTTCAACAAAAAAAAACATGTCATCTATTACACTGCGAATTATTTGTTGTTATGTATAAAATATAAATGTAAGTAAAAGCTAAATAAGTCCAGTTAAACCGCAATTTCCCATAATTTTTCCTATGTCTGTTTCTTGAACCGCACAGATTTGACACCCATCAACGATCAATAGAGTGGGGATAAATTCATCAAACTTGAAATTTTGGCTTTTCATTGGTTTTTTATGTTGTGTAAACTCCAGCAGGTTACTGGTAAGTAATAATGTCGAAACCAGCAGAGAGGTTTAGTTGTGGGCCGGGACGGCACTTACACGCATCACCTGCATTAAGTTAGTGCTTCTAACTGGAAAGCAATGAAGAAAACATAACCGCCTAGGGTTTTTCTTCTACTGACATAAGCAGCTGCAGCTCATCTTGATGCATAGCCTTCGCCTTGCTTTGATCCAACAATAACACTGCTTCACCAACTCTATCATCACTTACCAGCAGAGGCGAGCAGGGATCAGTTGATGCTACTACGAGACCTGATGATGTGGAACATCTTGACAACCTAAAATTGGAACTCTGGCAACTCTTGACAAATGCATCTGAGGTTTGAGCTTTCACATGAAGGGTGGCACATGGAATCTTCACCGTTTCACCATTCGCTGGAACGTCGCACTCGATTCCCATCTCAGACTTTATCTTGTCTTTGAGACGGAACATGCCGGGCCTCTCTCCATGTACTAGCATAACGTGCTTCGGAGACAAAAACTTGAGAAGATTCATGATTCCTTTGGAGTCAGTATGTGCACTGAAAGCCAACTGATGGATCTGGGAAACAAAAACACACGGTGAGGATTACCTTTATGTTCAAAACATGCACAAGAGGACTGCAAATGCGGTTTCTTGGACGAACAGAAGATTGGATACTAGGCACCATACATTACAACGGACATCTATTTGGCTATCACTGTCCACATAGATACTAGTACGTTTGCCAGCCACAAGCTTGTGGCCTATTGTTCCTGCTACACAGTACCTGTAAAATATGGACAGATAATAACTCATTAAAAGGCAGCTTTTATCTGAAAGTACAATTCTTCTAGGTTCAGTTTGAGATTCTACAGCTTTATACATTCATGTCATGGAGAGGCTTTCAGATATTGCAACAGTCATTAACTATAATTTCAAGAGCCAAAAGGGTACACTAATGTCTCATTCACTTGCCACGAGCAGCTAACCCTGTGTGCAACAAGGATTGATGATTCTTTCTTACCATGAAATGCTGGAAACTTGACACAAACATAAAGAAATTGGTTTTTTCACAATTTGTCATCAAAATATATACACGATAGATTGTTACCCAGGCAATGTTACGAGATTCTCCTTGAAAGGAGCCCACTTCTTGAAAGCCTCCAGGGAAAGGCCACCACTGAGCATTCCGGATGTGGCGAAGAGAACACAAGGTCCAACAGTATTTATCACTGACCGATCAGAACTGACAACTAGGCCACAGAACCAAAAAAAAAAAAACATCGTACTAAGTAATTGCATTATATTAGGTTGCAAGTGGAATAATCAACCTTTTGCCCATGAAACGGACACAAATCAAACATCGGGATTAAAATTCCTAAACCAATAGAAGTGATCAACTGAAGATGCAAAATGCCGGAAGTACCATGTTTGAAATTGAAGGCATTGTGCATTGCGTATGTATCTTTGATCTTTTGGTTGGTCCAGCTCATAAAGGTCTTGTAGTAAATATTAGCTTGTTTTGTCAAACCTGAAACACGTATATAGCTCAATTAGAACAACGTACCACTGAATGGCAAAAGAAAAGGCAATATGAATAGCTTTTGCGCATATGCACGAGTCGTCAGGCTATTCAAGGGTAAGTCAGAACGCAGTAGGAAGGATGGGCTGAGCGTCAAAAGAACAATAAGCTACTGAAACTCTCACTTTCAATAATTCAGATTGACGTTGAAAAGTAATGTGGGTTCAAGAGAATCCAAAATACGAACAAAAGAAATCTCAATTTTCCATGTAATGCAACTCAAACCGGACCCAAACGATGTGGCATAATGGTTTTGTTAAATCAATCGATGATTCCAATAAGCATACCACTCTCATTGCTAATGTTTGCCTTGGTTTCATAACTTCATCATATAAGAAACTTAACATGAGCAATGGTCGTACCAAAACCCAGATGTGTTGCAAAAATACCAAATGAAATGCTTTACTGGAATCATACTAACAAACAAAAAAAAGTAGGCTCTCGAGATGCATTTCAAGTTTGGAGAATAAATATAAGCAATTACTAAGGATGAATGTTTTTCATTAAACAAAAGAGCGCACCTGACGAGAAATATATTGGAACCTTGAGATTCATGCGCTCCCAGTAGTCATCCAACAAAATGAACAACTCCTGATTACACATAGATTATTATTTTATACAACTAATGAATGATCAGCAAAAAATTGTATTGCAACAGAAACGTAGAATAAAAGGAATAACAGAAAGATCACTCTATGCTGGATATATTATCCAAGATATATATTGATTAAGGAAATAAATATGTGAAGCATAATTAATGCATTCTCATGGCATTAGTACCTGAGCTCTCCCAAGTGCAAATGTTGGAACCAAGACCTTTCCTCCACCTTCAACACATTCATGAACCTATATGAGCAGTTTCAGTAGGTACTTCTTAAAGGGACAGAAATATGTTTAAATTTGGAGACAACTCTTCAGAAGTTAAAAAAACGTGCAAAAAGCATCTGCTCGTATAAAATGCAAATACACATGCTACATCTAATCATGCAAGATACAATATTTCTTAAGTCACAGACCATTGATGGCTCTCTTTCTCGATAATGATGCACTTCTTCAGTCATATTGCATGTGTTTGATAATTTGATTACGTTTGTCAAACCATCAATCCCCACAATTCAACCATATCAATGGACGAAACATTTGGATCAGTGAAACCGAAGAAGTTGTAATAGATAAGATATAAGGTATGTTGTTTTACATACAGCTTGAAGAAACTCCCTCTCACGAGCATATCTTGAATCACGTACAGTCGTTGCATAAGTTGACCTGTTAAGCAAATATAAATCATATGAGTGATTTGATGAGATTTGGAAGAGTAGGTTTATCTACAATGACATAATAATACAAGTAAAAAAGCTCCACTGTTGGAAATGAATATGTTGTCAACCATATAAATACATTCACTACCACTGCATTAAAAACACAACATGGGAAAAATTCTCAACAGAAAGTATATTTCACTCTCATGAGCAGGGGCTAAATAAAGACGGCAAGATAAACTCAACACAAATACCCGAGACTGTTTCCTTAGATTACAGTATATGAAAGTCACATGCAACAAACAACAAACTCTTTAGTTCACACAGATGGTTCGAGATGACAAGCCAGACATTTTGTCAAGAGAACACTAATCGTGAGAAAAACAATAATATCAAACGTGATTGATTATAGCCAAACATCAAACGTGAACATGCATATATCATAAAATCACTTACTCAGATATAACGAGATCTAGTTCTAGTCGATCAATTTGTGCAGCCCCGAGATGCCTATCTGGTGTCATATTATAGTCACCAGTATAGAGCATAGACCCGTCTCCTACCTTTGCATAAAACATTGCAGCTCCAAGAACCTTGAGGTGAATAAGAGGTATTAACACAACACAAACATTTACACACTGAAGGCCAGGCCACACATCAACCCAAGAGAAAGTGTTAATCTTACATGTCCTGCATAGTAGGCACGGATTTGAAGATCCTTGTCAACTTGTATAGTCTGCTTCAGATCAACTAGGGTAACTGCATAAGTAAAATTTGGAGGGAAAATGAACTAGAATTGCCTGTCTTGCACAAATTGAACCTCCAGAGAGGTTAGCTCATTTGGTATAAAAAAACTCCATACCTTTCTTCATGCATTCAGATATATCATCAGTGGTAAACTTCTCTTCCCCACCCCTTCCAACCGTTACCTTCATAAAATCCTCCAACATCAAAGGGGCCAACGCCTTTGTCGGGTACTGCAGAGTGACAAACATGCTGCTAAGTTCAAGACAAAGTACAAGAAACCTAAACCAGAATCTGTGAATCCTTTCAGAATCATTTTCCCCCTAGCAAAGAATATGATCGACAATGTTATCCTAACTTCTACAAGAGTGAAATCCAGAGAAAGTACCGTCATGTAAATAGGACCATTGTACGAATACTCTTTAGTGAAGTAAGGAAGCGCGCCAATATGATCCAGATGACTGCAACAAGAGTTCAGGAAAACAAAATCATTAGAGCAAAACAGGCAGGAACAGGACAGAGGCAATGGCGAACAACAGGAACCTGGAGCCACACTTACTGACTTACAAGTGAGTTATTATAACACAATCTAGGGGACCGTCAATGAGAGCAAAATCAGGGTAACGTTTGTCATCATGGTGACCCATGTGCATCCCGCAATCGAACATGATTCGCTTCCCATTGATTGTTACCACCACGCAGCTCTTCCCAACTTCTTGCCCGGCACCTGCACTCAACCAAGCATTAGGAAATCATCATCATATTAAAGGTAGATGGAGGGCAGGAAAAAGTAGGCACAGTGAACAGTACCTAGAACTAGACAGTCAATACCCATGATGGCAGGAGTGACTGTCTGGTTTTTAAGTGGGAGAAAGAGGAGCCAACCACCGCAAACAAAGCTAGAATCTTTCCCCCCACTTAACCACTTTCCTACATGATTTCTAGATGTTGCTCTTTTGTCTGGCCAGTCGTAGCGAAAAACTTCCTCATTCTTAATGTCGGAGCTGGAGGGAGTTTAGGCGGGAGCGTTTTGGAGTTGAATTCGGAGAAGGCGGGGAGAGGGCTGGAGCAAGGTTGTCAAACCGGATTAAGTCCTCTAACCGGTTTAACAAGGGATTTGAGGTTTAATGGTCGAATCGGGGCTCAACCGGATTAAGCCGGCTGACTTGATACATCACTCGATTCCATCTATCAACCTGTAAAACAAGTAAATAATTAACAAAATAACAAAGTATCATCAATTCCATCAACCAAATTAACCTGCTGCGTTCCTTACTAACTCCTAACTAACAAACAAACGTCAATGCTCTTTCTTTCTTTCTCCCTCACTCTCTCTATCTAACAACAACCAATGCTCGATTCCATTGTGGAAACTGGAAATGGAAACAGAACCAAGATGTGCTTTTCCAATTCTGAAACTACACAATAGAAACCTAATTAAGCACCTACCTGAAACGATCTAAGCTAGTATTGAGGCAGGGGCGGGGACTGCTGTCAAGGCGGCGGGGAGTTGGGTCGATGCGTCGGGCGGGGAGCGACGGCGAGGAGTTGGGGACCTGGTTTGAGACGAGGGGGCGAATGAGCGGCGGTGAGACGTGGGGCAGGGAGTTGGGTCGAAACGAGGGAGCGGCGGCGACTGCGCTGGTTGTGGCCGCGGGCGAAGGCTCTGCTGGCTGCTGCTCGGCAGAAGAAGAAAAGGAAGGGATGCGATCATGCGATAGTTTTGCTAGGCCTAGGGTTCAAGATTCAATTCAGATTTCAGAAGAAGCTCCAGAACAGGCCAAACGACGTCACTTCCTCATGGCCGGTAGCCGGATAAGTCCGGTCAGACCCCGGTTTTGACCGATTTTAACCGGTCTTGACCGGCTACCGACTAATTCAAATTATGGCTGGCACTAGCCCTTTTAATGCCCGGTTCCGGCCAGATCCGGTTCGATCGGCCGGTTCGATCGGCCGGTTCGGCCCTGGTTTGACAACCTTGGGCTGGAGAAAGGGGGTAGCTGAAGTTGCGCGAAATAGGTATGAATATGGGAAGTCTCCTTAATAGCCTCTGCCACCGCTACGGCTGGGATGAGGTCAATATGACCATAGCCAACGGCAAGCCAAAATCCTCCACCAGAAGTTCGCCGACGGCGAAGTGATCCGGTTCTTCCACTCGGAGCAGACGCCGCTAATGAGTTCCTCGCAGCAGTTGGGGGCAAGCAGGCGGCCGGCGAGTGAGCGAGAATTGCAGGGGGGAAGCTGTAGCCTTAAGGCACGAGAATTTCAGAATCATATAAAACCATAAAGGGTCGGACGAAGTCGGGCCGGGTCAGTGGGTATACCGGCCCAACGTCTTCTACCTCCCAATTTGACGGGAACCCTAATGGCTACTGCTCCGATTCTTGTTCGAGAGTTTATTGGTTCATCTTCATTTGCAGTTTCCCATCGTCTTTATAATTCAAACCCTCTCTGTGTTTGCTCGTTCTATTTCCGATTGCAGATGAACCCAGATTACTAGTTTGCCGAGAGACTGCGTTATTCAAACCCCTTTTCTCTTCAAAATGTGATTTTGGTTCAGGGTTAATGGAGACTGGCGGTGAAGCGATGGACGATCATGGCCGTAGATGGGTGCCAGTGAAAAAGGTGTTGCCTTTAACACTTTCTTTGTCAATAAGACCTTGATAACTATTGAAGATGATGGAAAATGGCACCTCAACTATGTTGGTCTTTGATAAAGTACAGTTCTTTTATCGTTGTGTTGCGTTCATGATGGATTTCAGAATGATGCCTAGAAGGTATTTGTTGAATTTAACTTGTTCAGAGTGGCTATATCGGGACAGAATACTAGGAAACAGAATCCATGACTATGAATGGCGGTAGTAGTATTTGTTGTCTTTGAGTGTTCCTGGTTTTCTACTTCATTTGCAGGAATAAGTTCAAAGTTCCAAATATAAGTTTAGCTTAGTTAATTTCTTCATTTGGATCTTTTATATGTTAAATCCATGCATGAATGGTTCGAAAGGTTACTCCCATTGTGAACTACCCCCAATGGATAGGTCTTGGCTCCTGTGTGTTTTCTTGATTATGCTTCTTCTATGGATGCTGCATTGAGTTCATGATTGTTGATCATGCCCGTCTGAATCTTATTTTCTCTTGTTCTTCTCTTCTACTGTAGTGATTGCTGTTTATTTCTTCTGTCAAAGAAGTCGTAGCTCTCATCTCCACTGATAAACAGGTTGCAGAAGTTGCCCAGGTACTGTGGTCATTAGTGTTGTACTGAGTTGAAAATTGAGACCATTTCGCTGATTTTTTTTCCTGAGGTGATGTAAAGGTTTACCATCCTCCATTTAATTTTCCTTTTCTTGTTGTTTCCCCCTACCAGACACATAGAAGTGGCTCAAAGTTCTCGCCTTGTCGGTGCAGAGCTGGGCTGGATGATTTGCGGGAAAGAATGGCTTAGTTATCAGCTTTATATGTCCTCGGTGTGTAAAGTTTGCAAATCTGGCTGCTGCTTTCAGAAGGAGGTGCAAAGCAATCTGCAGCCTGCCAGATAAAGAGGATAATGCTAAATCCAGTCCTGAGAACCACCTGCTTTGGACAACAGGAAAGATAAAGAAATCCTTGCCTAGCTCTTAGAAATCAGACTTCAGCCAGAACTGTGTTGTCGCTGTTGATAATCTGGAAGTTCTACAGAAGGATTGGGTGTGACTGATTGCTAGTTGCTTTATCTCTCAGAAGGTCACAAGCCAACAGTTCCTCACTCACCAACTGCTAAAAAGAATCAGGCATTGGCTATTCAACTCCAGCTGCCTCTGCCTCTGCCTCCTATTTCTGAAGAAAAGCACTCGGTGGTTTCTGCATCCCTAGTTGAAAAGTCAGGCTTGGAAGTTGAATGTTGGCCTCCTGTTGTCCCTGAAGGAACTAATCCAGAAGTTTCTGAGTCGCCAGGAACACCAAATGAATCTGGCTTGTTGCCTCTTAGCTCTGAAGGAGATGGGTCTAGTGCTTCTGAGTTGCCAATTACAAAAGAAAAATTCAAGCAAAGTGGTTGACCGTAAGTTGCCTCTTATCTCTGGATGAAACGACACATTGGTTGAATGAATCTCAGATTCCTTGTATCTGTAAAGAGAATGAGTTGAGAGCTCCTCATACGTGCATTGTGGTTGAATCTCAGCTACCTTCAGTCTCTAAAGAAAATGAGTTCAGAGTTTCTGGATCACCAGTTGACAGTTTAAATACAAATGCTGAATCTCAGTTGCCTCCAGCCTCCATGGAAAATGAGCCTACAGAGCTTCTGAAGTTACCTGCTGCTAAAGTTACAAAATCAGCTACGCCAGTCGTCAGGTTGAATCTTCTTCACCAACCTCTGTTTCCCGCGCAACCTCAACGATTGAAAGGTCAACAAGGCAGGCAGGCAGGCAGGTAATTTCCGCGCGGGTTCTCCTTCTCCATTTCAGAACCGGCCTAGCTGTTTCTTTGACTCCATTCCCATTTATAGACTACTGAAATCAACACCGTGTGCCAAACTTGTAAGCATCTAACTGGTTTTGACTTGGTCTGGACTGGAACGTGTTCATCATCTTCTTGAGCAAATCTCCTCATCAAATACAATCTCAATTTCTACATGATCAGTCCTAGTTCAAGAAAACTCCACATGTATCTCTATTTACAATGCCAAAAAATATACACTTGCAACACTATAGTAGTAAAAAAATTGTTTCTAATTATAAAAGAAAAAACAAGAATAAAAAAATCACGCTCCTTTGGCGTTTGGATGCAACGGAGAGTTCAATCTGTCGGATCGAGGACTCTGCTTGTTGTACCCACCTTCTTCCTCCCGACTCGTCGGCGGCGACCTCCGGCGTTGCTTCCTTACGCCGCCCTCTCGACGGTGGAGCTTATGTCTATGATGATACTGTTCTTGTCCACCTTCTTCCTTCTTCTTCTTCCCATCACTTTCCGCCACCTTCTCGTCGTCACCCAACTCCTTTTGACCAACAACCCCATTCTTGGTCTCTGCCGTGGGGACCACGTACACGAAAGTCCCCACGGCGAAATCCTTGTAGTCCTCGAGCGGCTCGAGCGTCTTGACCACGAGGCTCATGGTGGGCCTGTGTTTGGGCCGGTGGCTCAGGCACTGGTACGCCAGTGCCGCCGCCTTCCTGGCCCCCGTCTCGGAGTACTGCCCCTCGAGCCTCGGGTCCATGATCCGGCTCAGCCTCCTGGGCTCCAGGAGCATGGGCCTGGCCCAGTCCACCAGGCTCTGCTCCCTCTGGGGCCGACCCTTGTCCACCGCCTTCCTCCCCGTCAGCAGCTCCAGCAGCACGACCCCGAAGCTGTACACGTCGCTCATCGACGTCAGGTGACCCGTCATGATGTACTCCGGGGCCGCGTAGCCGTGGGTCCCCATGACCCGGGTCGAGATGTGGGTGTCGGATCCTTCCGGCCCGTCTTTCGCCAGCCCGAAGTCCGACAGCTTGGCCGTGTAGTCCGAGTCTAACAAAATATTGGAGGCCTTGAAGTCGCGGTAGATGACCGGCTTCTCGGATTCGTGGAGGAACTGGAGCCCCTTTGCCGCTCCGAGTGCGATCTTCATCCTTGTTGACCACTGAAGCGACGCCGCATAGCCTGGAAGAATTAGTCAAAAGGTGGTTTTCAGGTCTGGTGTTACCGATCCATTTTTCACAACATAATTAAGACAATATAAAGCAGTGATTTATAACTTACGGCGGAAGAGGTGGTTCTCGAGGCTGCCGCGCGGCATGTACTCGTAGACGAGCATGCGGTGGTCGTCCTCGCAGCAGTAGCCGAGGAGCCTGACGAGGTGCGGGTGGCGGAGGTGGCCGAGGAAGACGACCTCGGTGAGCCACTCGCGGTGGCCCTGGAGGCCGTCGAGGTCGAGGAGCTTGACGGCGACGGGCTGGGCCTTGAGGGCTCCGGGGCGGAGCTTGTCGTCGATGAAGCCCTTGTGGACGGGGCCGAAGCCGCCCTCGCCGAGGAAGTTGGAGGAGGAGAAGCTCTGGGTGATGACCTTGAGCTCGGCGAGGGTGAAGACGTGGAGGTTGGAGCCGGCGAGGGAGACGGAGAGGTCGGCGGAGGAGAGCAGCTGCGAGGAGTCCGGGTTGCTGAGGTCGGAGATGGAGACCCGGCCGGTCGTCGTTGTCGTCGTGACGTGCTGCTTCTTGGGATTGGGGGAGGAAGAGGGTGATGACGTGGGCGTCTTCTTCTTGTTTTTTGTCGTCTTCTTTCGCTTGTGGGTTTTCCGATCATGGGTTGTGGTTTCTTCTTGGGAGCCGAATAAGCAGCTGGAGAGGAAGGCAGCCCACCGGGATTTCTCCGTCGTCATTATCGGAAAATCGAAGGTCGTATATATATGATCGGTTGTCGTTGTTCCAGTTGAGGATTGAGATTGAGAGAGAAGGAAATAGAGGGAGATGTTTGTTCTGAGGAAATGGGTTGTGGATTTGAGAGGTATTTAAACAAAGAGAGAGGGATCGGTGCGAGTGAAATATTTTTGTTTTGTTTTTAAAAAATGGTGCGACAAAAAACGCGGATGCGACTCCTTTCTAATTTTCTTTTCGTTTGAATTTTCCCACCATGTTTGGTTTTTCTTTCTTCTTCAGTTTATTGGATTATTCTGTGTACTTTCCAAAGGATTCTTTTTTCTTCCGCTGCGGTAAATCTACAAACTTCGTAAACCAGTATGTATACTTAACGATTATTGTCGGTGTGATTTCTAAAATTCGGGTTAAATTAATGTTTGTAAGTGTGCATTCTTTAGTAGCAGTTTTGGTGAAATAAAGTGCATTACTTGTGATGGTTGACTGTGAGAGTTATAGTATACGCGTAGTAGTGTGGTTATATTATAAGTGGTCGCGTTATAGCAAAATCAAAGTGGTCGTACTCTTTAACAACAATTTTGGTGAAATAAAGTGTTTTAATTAATCTTGTGATGGTTGATTGAGAGTTATATATAGTACACGTGGTATGGTCGTACACCCCTAGCAAATCAAAGTGGCCATGGATGTCAGTTCCTAGCTAGCCTCTTGAGTAACCTCTCCAAACTCTTATGATCAACTCGTTGAGTCGACAATCTCGAAATTCATCTGACGAACACATCACTAAAACGGGATTCCTGATCCGAAAGGTTGCATAGAAGTTATTCTTTAAGGGTTTCTAAACTATTTTGATTGTGGTTAATTGTTTGGTTTTTTCCTTCTTGTTCATGGTTGGTAAGGTAATGATGCTCTTAAGTCTCAAGTCTGGGAGGTTGGTTCGTACGAAAAGGACATGGCATGGGCTATAAAGTATAAACTCTTGCCCTCCACCTTTTGACTTTCTCCGTCGCCTAGCCTGAATTAGTTCTGTTTGACACTCAAGTTCTTTGGCCGAATCCGCAAGCAAGAAGGATGAGGTAACATCTGATGACTCTTTTTTTTTACATTGGATGACGTAAACTAAATAAATCTTTGGGCGATTAAGGACTGAATCTATCTTGATTAACAGTTTAAATGTACAGATAGCTGGAAAGCTCGTGTTATAATTGACTGTTTGGTATACTTATGAAGAAGTATGTACATTGACGACAATTTATTTAGGAAAAAATATATCATAAACGAACTAGTATTAATAAATAAGTGAATGGGAGAGACCTATATCTATATGTACGAATTTTAGGGGTGAAAGCTTGACCCGGAAGACCCACTGACCCATCCCGTCTCTAAGGGTCGGGTCGGGACGGGTCAATTTGTCTACAGGGACATATTAGGGACGGGTTATTTGTTGACCCTGTAAGGGTCGGGACGGGTCACGTTTTGACCCTGTGACCCTAAGCAACAACACATATCTCACACCACATTGGACATTTTTTAAAGGTTTTAAAAGTTTAGGTACTAGTTTGCAAAAATTAAAAATTTTGGGTACCAAAATGTAATTTTACCATCAAAATTTATGGATTTATTTGTAAAAAAATAAATTTTAGGTACTAAATTGTAAGAAAAAATAATTTTGGGTACCAAAACATAATTTGTAAAAAAGCAGTGTGTTGATTAGGGTCGACCCGGCCCGTCCCGTTCCTTGAGGGTCAGACAGGATCAAGAAGGAGACATGGGCGGGACGGGTCAGTTATACATCTTGACCCTTCAGGAACGAGTCAGACAGGGACAGGGACGGGACATGCAAATTTTCAGCCCTATAATGAATCTTACACGAACTCATAGGAAAAAAAAACATATAATTAAATTGAGATCCATTGTTTAACCAATTCGCCACTAAAAAAAGTACCGTTACAAAGACATTATTATCGAACGCATATTAAAATCAGTTTTGTTTTTGAAATCGTAAATGAGTCAACATATGTATACAATTATACATCGCTATGATGAATTGATGATAGTTCCCCACTTTTAGATCTATTGTAGGGAAGACGACTTAGAGGGACGTAGACCTTTATATGTACAATAAACAAAAGGGGGGAAAAAACGAACACCTAGCTCGCTCGTTAGTTTTAGGTGGTTATAAGAAAACCAGAGAGTAGTTTTGCTAGCAAGTAGGCGACGACGAATTGACCCGCCGGCCGGCCGGCTGAGGACGCGGGAAGACCAATCATCTCATAAAAAATCCACACGTACTATTTGGGAGCTTCATTCTGGAAGCTTTACCTACTACCTTAACCTACCACATATACCAAAGAAGAAAAAAACAACGGTGGATTTTTATCAACTTAATTAGCTAGGTTAAGTTTGGTCTCTTCCCAATACATTTCTGTCCACACTCGACCTTCTAGAAATGAGAAATTGATCCCTATCTGGTTGGGTCATCCACCCTTTTTTTTAAATGCGACGATTAACATATGATTAAATGAGTGCTACGTTACTAATAACTGAGCTATCAGGGCATGATTATTTCTGACTTTCATACGTACGATATGCACTACCGCTGCTTTTGGTTCATTGCATTTGTTAATTAGTGGTGCGATTAGTTGGGAATGGAACTTGGTAATTTGAAATTAATGCCTGATTAAAGCACAAAAATGGGAGTTTGGGTTGATTAATTAAGGATCAGGGCCGCGGGAACTGCGGTCTTGTGTTTGTTATCCAAATCAATCAGACGGTGGTGAATGTGGCAGAGAGAGTTAGTTGACTTTTCCATGGCTAGAAAAGTGGTTCTAATTTCTAAAGTATATGCATCGGACGGTTGGTGAGGGTGTAGACACCACTTTTTGTCCGGGTTAGAACATATATTTAATTAAATAATTTTAGTGTTTTGTCTAAAGTTTGCAATAGCAAATCCTAAATGACATTCTAACTAAAACATATTCGTAGTGCCTGTGATGGGTTTTGTTTGCCTTGACGAGATTAATCTCGACCAATATAATTGATAGTGCGAGAGTTGAGTTGTGTTTGCTTTGATTTGACGAATTAGGCAATTTGTGAATTGATCTTTGATGAATTGGTTCTTAAGATTTTGGACGGGGTACTTTTTTAAAAATATTCGAATTAAGAAAAGATAAATAAGCATATTATTAAACTAAATTTGAATTAAATCAAATATAAATAAAAATTACAATCACAATCACAATGCTATTCCATTAAATTTACAAATAAATACAACAATAAAATAAATCAAGACCTAAAGTCATGGTCAACTCGGGTCAAATCCAGTCAACAATGGTCAAATACCCACTGGTCAAACCCGTCAACCAAACTCAGTTGGACCCAAACCAATATTGGTCCGACCATGAACCGAACCAGCACTGTAGCATGCTTGGAGACCAAGCTGCCTATTCCATATAAAAGAACCCTTTGCTCTTTAGAGAGGAGGGGGGAGCGACGACATTCTTCCATACTACATCTCTTCTTCTTCTTATTCCTCTTCCCTTTCAGTTTCCACTCCTACTTCCCTCTGAAAACAAAATCTCCTCTCCACTTCCTCCTTTTCTAATCCAAAAACACAGCAGGGGAACTCTGCAAAACTTCTCAATTCCAATCCCTTCCTCACAGAAAAACAGAGTCAACTTCTTCTTCTCCTTTTCTGGTTGAAAGACAAAAAGGAGCATAAGGTCTACAAATTCCCACTTCCTCCCCTCCTAAAGCACCATACACATAAATAGAAGAGGTCTTCTCCTCTTCTTCATCCGACCGAAACTCTAAAAAAAAAACAGGGACTTCCTTTCTCTTTTTCTTCTTCTTCTTCCATACTGTTTTTCCACTCTTCTTCCTTTTCCCACAGCAGACAACATCTTCCTCTTTCCTTTCTTCCTCCCCACGAGAACAAAAGGGTGAGACTTGGCTATGCTTCTTATTCTTCCTTCTCCCCCACGACAGGGGATTCTCTTCACCTCTTCTTCTTATTCACTCCCTAAACATACAGAAAGAAAGAGACAGATTAGGAAAAAGACATCTTTTCTCCCTTCTTCTTCTTCCCTACGGGGAGCTCTTCTTCTTTCACCTCACTAAAACCCCCATACACAGACAACAAATCAGAAAGAAAAGACAACAAAAAATGAATCTAGAGATGGACTCCCTGCTACTTATTGCCCGATACCAAAGCAGAAGCTCAGAAATGAAAGAAGCAAAAGCAAGTGAAGAGCACTCACAGACGAGAGAGGAAAGCAGCTTCAGCCCCTCCTCAAACTGCAAGAAAAGGTTAAATAGAGCATATCAACCCATGTACACATCATTTCCTAATTTCATCTTTTTATACCTTTTCTGAATGAACACTCAACCAATACCCAAACAAACTACAAGTTAACCACTAAGTAATCAACAAAATCATTATCTGATGCATTCTCTCAAAGATGTTTTGGCGGCATGTATTTATGTGTATATGTTTAAAGTTTTTGCGTATTATAAACAAAACTAGAGCTACATATATTAAGCTTTGTTCTTAATGTTTCTGATCATACCATACTTATATATTTAGCAATGTTACTGTTTACTTTAACAATTACTTCACTTTCTTTGTGCTAAACATACCATCACAAGCATACTACTCACTCTAAGCTACCAAATTAGATTATATAAACAAATATTAACCAGCAAATTAAACCAACTTGACTCAATCATACTCAAACTAAGGGATGTTTTTTGGCATCCTCTCTTAAAGTTCCAGCAACAAATTCGGTCATAAACTCCCACAATTTTCATTTTCAAAACCCACGGTATACAAATTTCTACACTCAAACCCACATCACACATACAATTTCCAGTTTCAAAACCATCCCAGATTTGCAAACTCCCATATTAACCCCTCAAAACATACCATTAGAAACCCACCTAATCAAATTGATCAAATCTGATTTTCCAAATCATAAACCTCTAAACTCAGAATAATGACCTCGTAAACACCAACGTACACAAAATTTCACATTCAATTACCACAAAACATATCTTCAGACTTTGTCCACCACAATCC